TGGATACTGCATGTCCCACATAGTCATACAGTCTCTTATGGATGGCAAAGGTAAACTTGTTAAAATGACTTTGGTTAGATCCCTGTACATGTCGCCTTAATTGGTATGGTCTTAATGCAGGCCCATGTCTAGTTACTCGACTAGTTATGCAAGCAAGGGGTACTATCCAATGACATTCTGTGAAAGTCTAAATTATGGGGATGGTTTTGAACTCAATGGGAAAGTACAATGGTCCTCAGTTGAAATTCATAATTGAAGAAAGTCAGTTGATATTCTCTAAAAATGCACATCTATTTCAAAAATTATTGCTCTGTATTGCAAAAGTCTACATCGAAGCCCTCAGTATGGCTCGCAACTAAAATGAAAGCGTACTACATGTTTTGTGTCTTCTCCATCCTAATACTATGTGTACCCTCCATTTGCCTCTATCACTGCTACACATCTTTCGTGCATGCTGCCAATTAGTGACAATAGCTCCTCAGAAGGTTTAAAGTCACAAGCATCCTGTAGCAATGTCTTCAACGTGGCAGAGCGCACAAGCCTAACCCCATTTATCTCAGGACTATTTACCTGAATTTGGTTTTTTAAGATATTCCACAATGACTCGATCGGGTTCAGGCCCGGAGAGTAAGGTGGCCATCTAATAGGCGTTATTCCAACTTCATGCAGCGCCTCAATTGTTGAGTACGCTTTATGACTTGGTGCGTTGTCGTGCATGTGTAGAATTTCTGGATTATCCGAGTGAAATTGATTCAAAAGTGGCAAAATCCTTTCACAAAAGGATGAGGCTCTCATTGATCCCCAATCCTTCTCCCAGACTAGGAATGGGCCTTTTTATGATCCGTAAAATGATCCCCAAAACATCCAGCTGTTCCCATGAGTATGACAAGCCACAATACAAGTCTCATCAAACTCATCATCAGGCTGAACTCTGCTGTTAGTACAAGGAAGATTTAGATAGAATTTAAACGTACTTTTCTTGTGACACGAAGTTTCATATGACAATCACCCGATACCCAGGTTTCATCAGTCCATAATATGCGACACCATTGTTCATCGCTCCAATCTAAATGTAATTGGGCGAACTCCAATCTTTTCTGCTTGTTCACCGCGCTTAACGGAGGCTTCTTCCGAGCAATGCATCTGCTATAACCTCATTTTTTCAGTGCGTTAGAAATTAAACGTTCACTGCATCCCCAGTGGCTGGAGGACCCCATGGCTAGTTCCAAATAGCACATCTGTCTATTTTCAGGAGACTCCCGGACGAAAGCCTCAAGCTTATCAACTTGTTCCGCGCTTAATTTTAGGAAGAGTCCTTTGCGAGACATAGGATTCTCAGTCTCTCGAGCACACGCAAGTTGTACTTGTCATATTGTGAAGCCAAGTTTGTCGGATATATTGTGAAGTGTCAAGCCAAGTCTTCTTAATGCTCTTATTTCAATACATTGATCGCGAGTTAGATGCTTGCGAACTTTAGTTTCTGAAGCAGACTTTTGGAGAGACATTTTTTACTAGAATAGAGGATGAATTGACGTTGATGTTAAGTTTCAAGAACTGTGTAGGTCAGGCAACCAAAGTGTTGTTGGAAATGTATTTTTCTAACTGATTGTTAGAAGCAGACGATTGGACCATACTTCATGGCGAGCGGGGTAAGTAGGAGAGACATACTAACCTATTACAAGCTAGCCCAACTGCGCCTACAGGGCTAATCCCTTCAACGACCCAGTTGAAGTTTTACCTTTTGGAACCTAGAGGCACTGTAGACTCAGACAGGACAATAAAATGAATCAATAACAAGATGGATAATTTTAGTCGTGCAAAATTCCGACGCCCATGTCTCGGCTCTTTTGTGTTTGAATTTCTAAGGTCTGCTGGAATAAGTCAAGCCCTTGAAAAGACTCTTTGGTGGATACTCACGGAGACGGGTCGAATGTTGTGTGCGATTAAGGAAATTCAACAAAGGAAATCCCGAATGAAATCCAGAGGAAAAGCGTCTCAAATTTAAACAGAGCCATCCAAAATATACATATAGCACTGATCACCCGACTCATCAAATTTGATGAATAAATTGTAGGAGGTTAAAAAAGCCCTCTTATTTTCCTCAGTCTATTCCCTTGGACATGTTCAAATAGCCGCTAAAATTTTGTATAATTTTACAGCAGGAAAACTCACACTTGATAACCTCGAAATTTATTTTTCATACCTTGAAGTTTCCTGTTATCACTCAGGAAGCGCAATCACATTTTCATTTTACCTTTTTACACTTATAACATACACTCTGTTGAACTCAAGTTATGATTGTCCTACTTTTCCCCTCAGCAACATTTAGATCGCTTCTATCGTATATAGTTACTACAAACCACCACGGCATCAGATCCACTGTGTAGTCCTTTTAATGCAACCGAGTATATCTGTTAGTTCTTCGAAAGATCGACCTTTGGCTTTTATCTTGATCCTCTGTCATTTGACCAATAAGGCTAGACATGATCAAGTGTTGAGACTCTGTGATAGTTAGTCACATGGACTCCTAGTAATATTCTCCCATATAAATCCGAATTTACATTGAAATTCCTGCTCCAATTTTGCTTTGCCAAACTGCGATGGGACCTTATCGTTTTGATTCAGAGGCAATGGTGATTCCAGTAGGCTCATTTTAAACTGGTAATCAGCCTTAATAGAAACTGACTGCTCTCCAGTTTTTGGGTCTGATATGGGTAGAATTTAATTTTATTCTGATTGCTTTCCTTTGTCTTAGTAAGGATATTTAAGACGTAGGTTATTTATGATAAAGATACTTGTATCCGAGAAACTATGTACCCTCTCATAGCATCTGTACGGCTCCTTTGAGAAAATATCACCTCTTACGAGTCCTCCTTCAATCATACATCTAGCGGAGCGTTACATCCTTTGTTATTTTACATTTCCGAGAAACGCAACGAAGGTCACTTACGTGTGCATGAGACCAGAATAACATGCATAAACCACTGGGCCGAGGGCTTTTTTGAAACATACATCAGAACTAAGTCCGAAGACATCGCTACCTTTATGAGATACATACAAGTCTGTTGCATTCGGCAGACCGGCATCCGGGAAACTTTTAAACTAACTCTCTGCCTTCCTAGAGTCCTTTTAATTCCTCCAATCATTCATGCCTAGTAAAACGTTAGAGGTGTGTTAAGGCGGCAAGCAGTATTAACAAAATTTGTGTTTTATAGGGTACTCTTGTCCAGCTTCTTGATACCATCTTTGATGTTTAGGACTGTAGACTAATCGAAAATAGACGCGCTAATTGCTAGTTTTGTATCCGATTTGTATTCTGTATGCTCTGTTGTGAGGGTTGGAGGTTTTCTGTGATACCACTTTCAGGACTTGTGTTTTTATACCTGAAGAAACATTGAGTGTAACGCGTAGGCAATCTTTTAATTAATTTTACCATTGAATCTACTGCAATGTCGTCATTAGAGATAAGTTATGGGTTGTGCTCATGAACAACTGAAAATGGGGCAAGGCTCAGCAGCAAATGATGCATGAATTTGTTGGCATAGCAAGCTCTCGCATGGCATCGACGTCCTCCAGTCATTGTTAGTGTGCAGTTTGAACTCCCACATTGTCATCTTCCTGAAGCCGAGAGGAACCACGATGCAGACCCGGTCAAAAAGCCCGATGTGCCATACGCGGAGCTCGGCTGTCGGAGTAAGTCGGCATAAGCGAGCTATTTGTTACAGCCTGGTCTGAGCGCGGCTAGATCTTGACTGATTGTCGTTGCACTATGCTTGGAATTGGCTCATGAAGACGAATTACTTCATCATTACTGCCGGTCTTCATTCAGTCTCTAGAGCCTCATCTACTTGAATTGTTATCCTCATCGTCATTAGTCGAGTCGCAGTCAGGGTGCTGGTACAAGCTTGCAGGCATTGTTGGGAGAGCAGAAAAGAATATAGTAGAATTTTATTTTTGTCCCTACTGAGTCTTTGACATGGGGAGTGCGGAGGTACGGTGATAATTAGCTGTAGAATTAATCGCGCAACCAATACCCCTCTCTCTGTGGGGTCAAGACCCCAGCAACTGCATTCCCCTCATCGTGCCTCCTAAGTTGTGACTGCATACGGCACAAGATCGCCAATCTCTACAGCCACCCAGCCGATCTAATCTAGACTCACCGTGACTTTGCCCTAGGCAGTACTGAGACCTTGTATGTCACTAGCCCTAAATTCAGACAAGCTCTGTGTGATATATTGAACCATGTAGCTTCGGCCCGTGTAAATATGATCTACTTTTGGCTTTAGAGGTATTGCGTGGATGACGCATCGAATACTTATGTCATCTGGGGAACCCCCATTGATAAAAGTTCGCGGCATTAAATAGAATTGTCATATGGTGTTGTTTTTCATCACGTGAGAAATATACGCAAAACACTCGTTCATGCCACTATGTTGCCGGATGTTTCATGACGCTAGGAGGATCCTGGAAATACTCTTCATGTGGGTAAGATTTTGCCTGCACATTTAGACTCATTTATTTCAGTTGTTCATTGAGATGCTATTGGTGAAATTCCCGTCTTTTTAGGCTCGAAAAACTGCTAGTCTTGTTAAAGGGCAAGACAAAGTTCCCAACGGCCTGAGACGTATCTCTCATTCGGAAGGCACGATTCCTCCACTTCATAATGCAATTCTCGTGTCACCGCACTTGAGCCAGACCTGTATTTTATGTTGTATGTAGATCAGAGTTTCCAAACTACTCTATCTCTTACAAGGCTAAAAGCCAACGCCGTCAGAATGAGAATCAGGGAGACGAATAAATGAGATTACATGACGGTGGATCTTTCGCTTACCGTGGGTTAGTTTCCCAAAGGAAATGCTGTTGGTGTTCGGGGGAGGGGGGATACTGGGCTAGATTGTGGGGGTGAACAGCGGATCGGAGAAAACGATGATTTGCTGCAGAGTATGGTGTTGGGTGAGACCGGATACAACGCCAATGAAGCATCCACTCTTACTCAATGCTTACATGTCCATCGAATCACCATTGGCAGGGGCAAAATTGAATCCGCCGGCCTGAGTCCCCGCTACTCCAAACCCAAATGAGCCTTGGCCTTCCTGATTGGTTGTGCCCTCAATGCCCTCCTCTTCATCCGCAAAGTACTTCTCGATCATATTGTAAGCCTTCATGTATATTTCCTCATTCGCATTAACTTGGCAACCGTGAATCTTTTCCATTCCTTGACATTCTTCGATAAATAGTGCGTAGCGGTTTATGCTTTCTTGTCCCTCACCACCTGCATCTTTGTCCATCTCACCGACTTTCAGGATATTCTCAAGGCCGTCAAGGGCTACTTGAATAATCTTGTTGTCGGGACAGCTTAATAAATCACAAAGCGGTTTGATGCAGCCTTGATTGACTAGGTACCGTATTTGTTCAGGCTTTTGTAGACCCCCAGAAGTGGCATTGGAGATAGCCCAGCATGCCTCTTTTCGGGTTTTGAGGTCCCCGTTTGATAGAAGATGAATAAGGGGAGGAATTAGATTAGATTCAATTACGGCCTGAATTTGATTCGAGTTACCGGCAGTGATATTGGAGATGGTCCAGCAAGCTTCTTTTCTAATTCCATCTTTCCCGGAGCTAAGAAGCGAAAGGAGAGCTGGGAGGGCCCCACAGTTAATTATAACTTGCGTCTGGACATCGTCACCAGTAACAATATTTCCTACGGATCGTAAAGCGGGGGTTTGGACTGACGTTGATGCATGCATGAGTAGTTCAACCAGACGACGAGGGATTCCAGCTTCAATGACGGCTTGGATCTTATCGTTGGCACCGTCTGAGAGATATGATATTGCCCAACAAGCATCAATTAGGACTTCATCGTCAAGAGAGTAGACAAGTTTAGCAAGTATAGGTAGGGCAGGAAATATCTAATAATTTAGCCTCAGTTACTTCATGCTGGGGTGTTTCTTACTATATTCCAATCAGGTAGAGGTGTTTTTCCTCGACAGAAATTACTAAGCGTCCATGTAGCGTTACGGAGAAGGCTTAGCTTTCGGCTGTCACCAAGAAGATTGAGAAGTGGTGTTAGTGCGCCACAACTTAGTACATAATCTCGACATGATGGGCTATCTCCAGCTACGTTCCCTAATGCCCATACAGCTTGTTCTCGAACATCAGGCTCATGACTTCCGAGTAGTTCGACAAATAATGGCACAGCTCCGGCTTCAATAACGACCTGTGTCTGTTGAGCTGAACCAGAAGCGATATTTGTTAACGCCCAACAGGCTTCAAACTGAACTAGTGTGTGCGGAGATCGTAGAAACGTAACAAACCGGCTTACTACACCGGTCTTGATCACTTCTTCGATGGGCGGATTGCGTTCCTTCGAGAGTAGCTTCCGAAACTTTGTCGTAGCTTGTATTTGAAGATCGATTTGGTCGGAAATGACGCCGGCAACCATCTGCGGAAGTTCCTCGTTCAACTATACTAGGCTTAGCGAATGCGCATGAAGTTTTTAATTTTGATAAATTAAAATCTTAATTTGGTCAAATGATTGATCTCCGTTACAATAAAACTTCCCAGCTTGTATCGCAGTATCAATCGAAAATTTGCTTTTTTTACAAGATTGCTACTCAATCGTTATATACACCTCGAGTGCTCAGCATGTGAGTCGGTTAAAGTGTGGTCGATTTTCGTTGTCTTGAAATAGGTGCAAGGATAAGAATTTGTAAAATTTCTTACCTGACTTTCTGTCGGGGCATTATCATCGTCGCTGTCTGGCTCGGCACCTAAGGCTGCGCCGGGGCGACTTCCATCGCCACCCGTTATCCCTCTTCTTTTGGCTAGATTTTCCTCGCGTTTAGCTTTTCGAATTTCAACCTGCTGTTCTTCACGGCGACGCCTGAGTTCTTCTGGCTTGAAAGTATTTTTGGCCTTAAATTGTGTTCGACGATGCTCTGGAATGTAGCGCTCGGCCATGATTAATTTCTTTGATTAGCTATTTGAGAGAGTGATAAAGAAGCTACAGGATCTGTGCTTGTGGACTTGAGATAAAGATCCTGTCGTTTGAGACTGATTGTAAAATTGAAGGAACGACGGCTGATGACTCTTTCAAGTATGAAGGACTATCTCTTGTTGATCAAGAACGTGATCTTATAAGCGAGTCGTAAGTGGGGCCTAAGTAACAGCCGCGTCGCGTTTCACGTGAATACAGCAACATATCAATCATCCTGTTTTGGTCTGATAAAATTATAAAAGTCGATGTACGGCACACACCATGATTCCTTGAATATTACAGGATCTTCATCATTTACAAAGGTCGCACGAAAACATGAGCTCTAACAAGACAGAACTGGAAGTGCCAAGTGGTTTTTTCACTGTGGAGCAGTTGCAGACGTTATCAAGTCGCGAAGCTGAAAATAATCGTCTTGTCAGCGTGATAGGACATATAAAAGATTTTCAACCCCCAATAAAAACCAGAGGCTCAGGTGCAGCTACCCAGAAAGTGCCAATCACATGACTCATTTTAATGCTGGATTAGACTGGAAATGTACACTAGAAATAGCCGATCATTCTATTCAGTCCAATAGTTTAGGTATTAAAGTTGTGCTGTTCTGGCCTCTCGAAAACATGCCATCGGAATCTGCCGTGGCAGATATAGCCGTTATATCAAGAGCAAAGGTAAGTGCCGCAGCGTTACGACTTATACTTGCTGAACTTCAAATTTAGCTTCAGGGATTTGGTGGTCTCCGTTCTCTTCTGTCGAACATTAACACAACCGTGCATATTATGCCCTCGAAGAAAATCCCCCGGAACTTATGCCAAAGCTATACACACCTTTGGAAATCATGCTCTTTCTACCATAATTCTAGCAGCAAAAAGATAGATGCACCTAGCTATAAAGAAACGGAGTATGCATTGATGGTGAATCTAAAAAAATCGAGCCGTCCAACTTTATCTTCTAAAGAGCACAAACTCAACAAACCCCAAGCCAACAACGTGAGGGAAAAGTATCGGCTCTTAGCAGATGCTCGTCCTGGAGAATACTGCGATCTTGTAGGGCAGATAGTTAAGATAAGGCGGCAATCTTCAGGAGTCCTATCATTATACATTTCTGACTATTCCGCCAATGACTATCTTTACGACTATATTTATGAAGAAAAGAGAGCTCAAACTACAAGCCACACAGAAGAGGAATACTTTACTTTTCAGTCCTCGAGAGATAAAAGCAATTGGCCTGGACCATTCGGAAAACTGACTATCCAAATTGCTCTCTGGGATCAAAACGCTGATTATATTAATGATCGAGCTAAATGTGGGGACTGGCTTGCGCTCAACAATGTACGCATGAAATTGAACTCAAATGGAAGCATTCTCGAAGGGGCTTTACACAGCGAGAATGGAAAAGTACTCGTGCAAGTAATAACGTTAGCTGAAGAATCACCCATAACCTCGGCTCGATTGAAATCCGCTAAGAAGCGACAATTAAAGTATAAGCAATATTACAATAAACTTGTTGCTAATAACGAAAATAATGTCAAAGAAAATAGTTTTGGCAAGAAGAGAAAGTTTGATGATACCGAAGTATCTGGGAGAAAATCCAAAAATAGAGAAACTAAACTAGGCCATATTGCAGATCAGGAACGGATAAGGTTAGGCACTGGGCTTCCCCAACTGAATGAGAATAGTAAGTTGATTTCATCCACATCAGATATTATGATTCTCATACTCAATCTCAAGTCAAGTCCAATTTTACAGATAAAACTGCTGTAACTTTGAGAGAGATCCTCAACTCAACTTTTAGTTCTCCGACTGAAACAAGGCTAATACCTTCTCCTTTCACGAATTGCAAATACAAAGCAATAGTACGCGTTATCGACTATTTTCCTGACCAAATCGAACACTTTGCAGTATCTCTTGACGATGATGAAACAGATGAACCGTCAAGCTCTGTTAAAAGCGAAGTTTCGAGCAAAAGACTGAAGAATAATTGGGAATGGAGATTTGCACTTTTACTAGAGGAAGCTTCAATCACTGAAAGTTCTGATAAAGAGTGTTTATGGGTAGTCGTCGATAACTATGAAGCCCAACATCTTTTGAATTTAGAAAAAGATGCCACAGAGTAAGCATATCAAAGCACTGTAAATTATTTAATTCTAACAAAGTTAGTCTTTCTCAAGATAAAGAGCTTCTTTCTCAACTCAAAGAACAGCTCTTTAAGCTATGGGGGAACCTGCAAGAAAAAAAAACAGCCATTCTGCAAGAAATATCATCAAAATCTCAACCAATTATAATTTATCATTCACCCGGGATGCAACCAGATCCTGATAGCGATGCAGAGAAAGAAAGAACAAAAAATCAGACAAAGATGATAAATTCGCAGCCTCTTGCATCAGAAAGGAATACGCTGCCAATCATAAATCCAATAGAATATGTGTCGCTTAGTAGTCAAAGGAAACTATTTCATGATATAAGGCCCTCGAACAAAGCCTTCACTTGTTGCATTCAACAGTATGGGATAAGAGAGGTAGAAAATCATCCAGTCAACTCTAATTTGGAACCAAAGATACTGTGGAAACGACAATATTCAATGTTTGGGACCAAGATAGCATAATAAAACCTTCGGATAATAAAAACTCATATCTACTTACACTTACTATCCAGACTTAGATTACACCCGACAAATATTACGTCTGTCTTCTAAAAAAAAATGAATCTCTCGGAATGAAACTGGATAAATGAGGCAGACCCCTCTTTCGCTTCTCTTAAACATCTCATTACCTGACTGAGTACTTTTTAGCTAGGTTAGACCCCTTTAATTGTGAAATGCAAACGCAATCAGTATTGAGGTTACAAATTGCCCTACTATCTTGAAATATTATGCATACTACTCAACCAGCATACCCGAGGAGCCACCAGAAATATGGTAATAAAATTAGTAGGAATTGATGCTTTTCTCGCTCGTTCGCTTGTGGGGTGAAATTATCATTAATTATCTACTGACCTAAAGCTTGACCTTTTGTCTCAATGAATATTCTTAAACTTATCTGAATTTAATTATTAAAAATCTTGTTCAGTCTAGTTACTCAATATTCGCCTTTCAGAACTTGTACAAGATTGTTGGAAATATCATGCAATGAAATAGGTGCGGTATTCCTGGAACAAAAGAACCCAACTAAAAGGGTGTCATGTTCGAATTACTGTAAAGGGAGTAGGAGTTGTATGCTATAAGCATAAGTGTAAGAGACACAGAGCCTAAGCCACAGCATAAACGATTGTGGCGCCATCCAGGCATAGAAAGCTCTCAACATCTATTTGTACTCACGCCGTACAGTCACTCATGTGTCTAATAGGCGACATTAAACGCTTCCATATTACCCATTCCGACCTCTTAAAAACACGTGAGATCGTATTGGTAATCTAGACGAAATTAAGGGCCAATACGTCCACAACACTTTGCCTCCACTTTCAACTATAATCATCCATATTCATTTTTGAGCCTGTTGAGCTACGTGAGTCTATGAAAGAGAGAAATACATTTATTATACAACTTGAGTCACAGACTATCTAGCATATTGGGCTCCTCTAGCCCAGGCCACACCTTATAAATTGCTCCTTGCCTCTTTTGTTACTTCAAAGATCATTGACATATTGACCGTGATGAATAGCCATTCAGCTCAGTATTTGCCCGTGGAATTCGGCCATCATTTCCACGAAACCTTCTACCCAAAAAAATGGTGGTAATGAAAATTTCTTGCGCTGGAAAAAGTCTCAAAAAACCTGCAGCCCCAGCCAGGAGAGGCCTAGATACCGGGACCACATGAGTTGCGCATATTCATCTATACCTCCCTTTTTTGTAACATTAGAGTCCATCTTGATCCAATCCGCCATCTCCGTATCGGGTGCTGGGTACGCTCCGGAAATGCATCGGATGGCTTTTCCTTCATGATCAAGGGATGGTGACGAGAAGGACTTGAACCTACCATCTGATATGGTCACGGTTAGCTTCATGATAATGATGATAGGGGGTTTTATTAAGAGATGAAGACGATACAGACCGCGAAAGCGATGGAGAATCCTCATCCAGGCGTGGACGAAGGTGTAACTAAATCTTGGCTCTGCAGACTCTACAGTGAGAGCTGGAGGTTCGGAGGGAACATTACTGACAGGTGTTGAATAGTCCTAAGAAGGTGTCTGGAAGAGTCGCTCGCACAGGAGCTTTTAATTAAAGTATTTATATTAAGATGTAATTGTCTGTCTCCATTCTTCCCTCTTTTCCCTCGGCCTATGTATCTACACATCTAATTCCTGATATACGATGATAATATCTGATAATAGCTGCCTGATATGACGAGAAACAGTCCAAAATGATGTAGCCAACACCCTATAAAATGACTCAATACCAGTCCGCTACGTCTATGATACATAAGTCTAATATCTACTAGCTGAAAATCACCCGGAATCTCAAGGATTTAATTCTACATGTTATGCTGACAATAATGTTACGCACATGTTAATTGAATGTAATTTATACGTCTCACGAAACAACAAGTCAGTAATATATGTCAGTGGGTTCTGATTCTGGTCTGATAGGTTTCCTATTATCCTCTCTTGCATAGCCATGTATTCTTAGTCGATTGATAGTTCATTTCTAATCTAGGATCCCGATCTATTTCTGCAATCGGGTCGGCTCTGGACAATTTTTCTCCCTTGCAATTCTGCTATATCTATCGTGATACCGGTGGTAGTTAACTTAATGGAACTAGACTTCTTTACTATCCGGGCATTTATTATCTGAAAAGACCTTGAAAATCCGACGGCTGACCGGTCCTGAAAATAGTCTAATTCGCCTGTATAAAAAGTAAACTGTCAAAAAGATGGAGAGCAGATAATACAGTATACAGCAGAAGAATAGATCCGGCAAATGAGGTTGAAATTTGCGGTAAGGACCTGCCCAACAGACAACAGGAAGACATGGGGAAGGTGTTATGATATGAGACAACGAGGTAGTCGAGTCTAGGGCATCGCGTGTGGCGCAAGGCCACAGCATACATCACTAGTGTACTGGTTAGGCGAGCATGTACCGTGGTGCCACGATTTCAAGTTTTCAGTGGATTTATATGGGGTGCATATTCGCTACAGGGGTTACACTGCTGTTAGCGCCAATTTCGACAGGGTACATAATTCTTATCCTGTATTTCCAGGCCTAAACCGAGGGCACAATTTGATCTCATGCCACCCTCAGTTTTATGCAAATCCAACCCGCTCTCTAGTTCTTTCCCATTGCTTTGATGAGCGCCGACCGCTAAAAAATTACTCAGCTCTTCTCACCTTGTGCTTGAGTTACAATAAGAATTAGATTTCTCAAAAACAAAGTTATTTATTCAGAAGACACATGGCTTTACTCGATAATAACCTTATTTTAACAGATGAATCCACCTCAAACCCCACTTTCAACACCTCGAATCAAACAATTATCCAGAGATCAAAACATTTTAGTAAGTAGAAAAATTAGATATGAACAAATATAAATCAAAAAAAAATTAAGATCTATGGGCTTCATGAATCTAGCAAAAACTATACGAAGATTGCTGCGCAACTAGGAATTTCTCGGGGACAAGTTAGTTATTCACTGCGCCGCGGAACTGTCTCCCCCAAAAAGAGAAAAAGAACATCCTCAAGACTGAAAGCAGATGATGTTGATCAGATATATCTTACGTTAAGTCTTCACCCGGAAACCGCCGCAAACCATTTCTGGAACTCGCCTCTGGCCCCTACAGACATCTTGGTGTTAGCGAGCGGGTAATACAAAGAGAACTTAAAAAAAAGGATATCAGCGACATGTGGCTCGTCTAAAGCCTCCAGTATCTCAGAAAACTATGAAGACATGCAGAGAATGGCCCGAAGCTCATCTCAATTGGACATATGAAGACTGGACGTCAGTTTTATGGACAGACGAAACGTGGGTAGAGGATAGAAGACATTCTAGAGAATGGGTGACAAGAAGTGTTCGTAAATTCCTCAATAAGAAGATGGTAATTTGATGCTCTAACATTATGAGCTAGACTTCCCAAGAATACAACGCTGATTGTGTTGGAGAAAAATCTAAGAATAGGGTCGGATGGATATTCTGGGGTTGCTTCGTAGGGCCAGAAAAAGGCCCTTTTTTGTTTTGGGAGAAGGAATGGGGTTCCATTAACCCCCAAAAATATTGCGAGAAGATAGTTCCTCTTATTGATGGCATGGTCTCGATGAGACCCTGGCTTTTTGTGATGCAGGATAATGCTCCTGCCCACACAGCCGCAATTACAATGGAATATATGAGCCAGAAGCTCATTCAATCGATTCTCTGGGCGGTCAACTCACCTGATCTTAACCCGATTGAAGCTGTTTGGAATAGGATGAAGGATTAAATCCAGCATCATCATCCAAATCTGGGTTGTGGAAAGCAGCGAACTCAAGATAGTCTTCGCAACATTGTAAAGGAGGCATAGGATTCCATGTCTTCCGAAGATCTTGTGAGACTCATTCAGAGTATGCCGGCAAGATGTCAGGCTGTGATAGATGCGGATGGGGGACTGACCAGATATTAAGGCCTGAAAATATTCCAGCCACATGTTCAGATCTAAGGTTAGGATTAGACTGGCTCTATTTTGTAATTTGAAAACCTTTGAACTCTTGTAAATAATTTATAAAGTCAAGTAGCAAAAATGCACAAATGTTATGCAGCCGATCATTATACAAATCATGTTTAGTACGTAGGAAAGACCCACTGCAAACTATGGTGTCCAGATAAAAACTGCCACACAAAATATTTCAAAAATTTGCACAAATACGGGGGCTAACTCCAATATAGAAGGTGACTATGCCTAAGGCGTCTTAATTAACACGCTAAAACTCCTGCCTAAGGCCCACTACAAACTTGACACCGTGGTGATACGATAGATTAGATTAGATTAGATATTTATTATAGTCCTAACTGAGTCAATGACTATAGAGGACTCCTAGAATCTACATATAAGATACTAGCTACATTTTTTTTTTTATATTCCAATTTTACAATTTTTAACTATGCTCTTATGGACAGTGAGGGTCGAGCCCTGTGTGATACGATAGTATCATGGTTGTAACAACACTTAATGGGTGAACTTGTCTCAGATTTATATGTAATTCATTTTGCCTGGTTTGGGGCCTTGAGGCTCATGCAGATTTGTCGGAACATATGTACTTTAAGTAGGAAGACTCAGTCTGACATTTAAAACACATACACCCAAATCTCATTTGCAGAAACCACTCGAGGACACCCGTCACAGCGTGTAACTCATTCCGCGCATGCCCACCACAGGGAAACGCATGAACTGGTGGCATACCGGGTGTGATTACATTATCCACCGCACTATACCACCGCGAGAGACATTGGTGTGAGGGTGTGACTTGAATTGAACCAGCATTCTCTCATTTGGATTGGGGTAGATGTTCAAGCTACCCAGCGTATATTTGGGAGACAGCCCAGATGCCGTACCACTGCACTACCCATCCCTGATTTAGTATTCTACTTTCTGTCCATAAACATACAGCATAATATTGTATGAGTCTATTCACTGTCAACCACTAATTATTACATCATCCACTCCTCATCACTCCGCAATGTGACTTCCGCATAGCTCATAACCACAACACAAACATCATGTGATAACGTGGTCTGGAAAAGCAATAAAAGTTGCACATCTCGTGCGACGCTTCAATTCTACATTTCGAGGGGCTGCACCTGGGTCTTGTCTTGTCTTGTTCATTTACGTGCTAGGTATAGTGACTACCGTTGCACTCCTATTGAAGTTCAAGCACCTTTGGGGCCGGGCTGGATCAGGTTAACTACCATTAAGTACATCTACCTCGTCCCACCTAAATAACCGGACCACCTCAGACTTCACCCATGTGTTGAATTATGACAAGCCCAACCGTCCAGAGAACCCCCTTTTGGCGCGCCGAAGCGCAAATTCCTACTCAGCCTTGGCCACCACGCGCCCGAGCCCTTGACACTTTCGCCATTTGTAACTTTTCCCTTCGATTCATTCGCAGCTTTGGCTCATCTCAGCATCTCCTCATCTCATCCAGGGGTCGTTTTCTTCACTGGAGGCCTCCTCAGATTGTATCCCCTTTTAGTTCCTTCATACAGCATCCCTCTGTCCTTCAGCCGATCTCGTCATCCCAGAAACTCTGCAGAATGTCCACTCCTCCGGCCTTGCCCTGTCGCTGCCGTACCTCTAACTGTGGAGGTCGAAAACGCGACTGAGAGCTCAAGACCGAGGCACCAGTGCCCCAGCCTTTGTCGAACTCTCTGGTTGGTGTGCCGGCGAAATTCCGTACGTATTTCGTCGGTGGCGATTCGTTGCAGGTCGAGTTGTTGGTGCCCTTGGCCGAGGTGAGGATGCATTTAAGGCCGGTATTTCGACCGTACCTTCACAGCGACTGGCAATTGCGGAGGGTAGGACATCCTCTTGCTTCTTAGTTGGCGATTTGGCTTTTGGAGGTATGGGATTGCTTAGGTAGGTGGTGAGATGATTCTTGAGAGGGCCGCGAGATGAGTTTAGCTAGGAATGATTTTCCAGAGAAATAAAAAATAAGATGTTAAAGATGTCGGTTGTTGTGATACGAACATCAGACAGGTTATAGCCTGTCTGCGGTTGGTATCTGAGGTGTAGATGGTTGACTTCGTTGAGTTCTTCAGTCGTGAAATCTCTGCAAGTCGGATTTTCGACCAAAAATGAGCCAGCTCCACTCTTCCCGATCGCCAACTCGACGAAAAATCACAAATTCGCCCTTTGTCGTGACTGAATCTCGGCTCTGGAAGAATATTTCACTCCCAGGTTCGTAGAGGACACCACTGACAGGTTTTCAGCCTTCGTCATCCGCTGCACCAGGGTTGCTGATACGAGCAGTAAATAGTTGTATTGTTTCAATCGCGACTTTTGAAGCGGAAGTCTGGTGGCCCGGCCTCAAACGCCCAACAAGAGCAGGAATAGCCACGCCAGCTACCGCGAGCCTCTATACTATCATCGACAAGGTCAACATGATGGGTCTCCGATCTGCATTTCCAGTTCTGCGGACTACTCCTAATGTGGTCCTGCACAGGAAAGGAGGAATCCCTCCAGCAAATATTATTCTAGAGGGAAACTGACTAAAATTTTCAGCCAGAATAAAAACCCTCGATGATCGACATCCGCTGAGATCTCGTGCTGCGATGTGCCCAAACGTGGGTACTCGAAAGTACGAGAAGAATCCACAAGAATTTGACTATGTAGATAGACAAAGGACTCGTGCACAACGAGCTTACAGATAACTTCCAGACGCAGATGCTTCGACGCCTCTGCCGCCGCCATCCTACTCTTCTAGATCCATGACTAAGTCAGAAGGAAAAGAAGCGAGCAAACTTTGGATAGACAACGTGCCCGCATCGGAAATTCGCGCCTACTCAGACGGCTCTTCGGAGGGAAACGGACGTTCAGCTTGGGATTTTGTTTTGAAGAGATTTGGTAAAACTCTTCACAAGGAGAATGGTATTCGATACAGAGGAGAGGTCTTGGATGCAGAAATCACAGGAGCCCTGAAGGCTCTTGAGGCGGCGCTGAGAATGAAAGAAGCGCAACGGCTGCTGGGGGAGACGATACGGCGAGTGAATGTGTTTCTGGATAGTCAGCATGCTGTAAAAGCATTTGAGACGGGCATCTCTTCAACCAGCCTCGAAGAGATACGTCAGTTTCGCATACTCTCAGCGTCAGCTGCTGTGATGATCAAGCAGATTCCCGGTCACTCTGGAATTCAAGGGAACGAAGAAGTAGACGCTACTGCGTGCCTCGGCTTACGAATGCTACCCAGTCCGGACAACCAACCAGTATCTATTTCGTTAGCATACCTTCGCCGTCTTATGAATAACCGGCTACAAGCCTTGCTCAGCGACTGGTGGGATAAAGCGTGCCCTGTTCGGTATCGAAAGCTAGATCTGCTCATGAAACGGCGCAAGCCCCCTGAACTAGCCCTATCAAGGCATCTACTCCGCGAAGAAATTGCAGCCTGTAATTATGTAATGATTTCTATTTTTTTATATGGCTGCATGTAATTTAACCATCTACTATTTTTGTAGTGGTTCACGTGATGGGAACTAGCTGGACATGTCATAGATTTGATCTTAGCTGTAAACACCGGTCTTTGACCCTAGGGGATAGCGGGTATGGCCTAGGACTTGATTAAAACCAACAAGGTTGGAAAAGAGGTATAGAAAAGATGACTCGTAGACCAAAGGGCACTCATTTCTCGGATTTATGCATCCGCTCAGAGCCACCATTTCTATTGTTGAGTGTAGAAGGTTTGGTAGAAAAGGTGGCCGAATTCCAGGGGTAAAACTAGGCTGAGTGGCTATCCATCACAGGCAATATATCAAAAGCCTTTGAACAAAAGAGGATAGGGACATTGTACATGGTGTGGCTTGGGTCAAAAAGGACTCAATGTGCTAGAGAGTCTGACTAAGGTCGGACAATATTTTACAGGCTGCTGCCTCATTTACCTGGAACCGGAGTTTATCCGGCTCCCAACAGGCGTCATTCCTAATTTAGTTAGGATCATGTAATTGCTTATGTAAAGTCCAGGATGCGACGCGACGCGTAGTCTTTACAATCTGGTAAATCCCATTTGGATTAATTCCCATTTGGATGGAAAATAAATATCATTTTTGACATATGTTCGCGAGAAGTTGGCGTACCGTCCCTAAACGCAATACAGTAATCACACGACATTGGGATTATATTTACATCTTTGACATAAATCCCAACTTGACTAGCGTGCATATTTCAAATACTAGTGACCATCCACCTCTCACCTACCGTGGTGATTTGCTGTATGAAGAAACAAATGGGAACACAACTGAGGAGGCCCTGGTAGGCGACTGGATGAGGCCTCCAGTGAAGAAAACGACCCCTGGGTGAAATGAGGAGATGCTGAGGTGAGTCAAAGCTGGGAATGAATGAAATGGAAAAGATACAGATGGCGAAGGTGTCAAGGGCTCGGGCGCGTGGTGGCCGAGGCTGAGGAGGAAATTGCGCTACTGCGTGTATACAGCGGGTTTCTGAAAGGTTAGGCTTGGTATGATTCAACACATAGGCGAAGTCTGAGGTGGTCCGGTGTTTTAGGTGGGATGAGTTAGGTGTACTTCATGGTAGTTAACCTAATCCGGCCCGGCCCCAAAGGTGCTTAAACTCCAATAGGAATGCAACGGTAGTCACTATACCTAGCACGTTAATGAACAAACCAAACTAATGCATCAGGGTCATGTTTAAAGTGGGTAGACCTTGTCGATAACCTCAGGCAAAATGAAAACCAGTCAGATTTGCACACCACTCTGAATCTGCAACAAGCTTCCATGGCCTAGAACTCATGATAACCCGAGATCAAAATAAGTCATTACAGCTGTACTTCTTTTTCACCTCAATGCGAAGTTGGAAAGTTATCCAAGGCAAGGAAGCCGTAGTCTAAGATTTGCTGTAAGTTTCAGGCATTTATGAATCATTTTTGTCAGTGCACTAGAAAAGAGCTTTCTCAATAATTGTGTATCTCAATGCGATCTTTCTGTATACGACGAATAGTATCATCATCAGATTGTAGACATGGTTGAAAATTTCCCAACACACTGTCCTGTATCTTAGTATGGTATAGGCTGTAAGTTTCATCGATGGTGTGATACCCTATCGCGTAGGCATCATTTAAGTCTAGGTTTCTCTATCAGCAGGTTTTCTGAATAATTTATGGAGAGTATTTACAATTATGGTGGCTCTCTGGAGTTCTCATGAGCCAGAGATGTAAAAGCTTCTTTCTTACAAATGGGAGACTGGGGCTTCTATCATTTAAAACAGTCATCAAATGATTTAGGGCGAACTCCAAAGTAAGCCATATAGTTTTGGACTTGAACTTATGTCCCAAGCAAGTCTGGGGCCAATAACTATGTTGCATTCCTTCGAGATTTATCGTAGAGAATGGGCGATAAGTTTCATGGGACAAGGTCGACGATAAATCCCATACAGATGCACATTTTTCTTTCCTATTTTCTATATTGATGATACCCTTGAATTCACGATTACTCATATCAAAAACAGCACGGTATTTAGCAGAAGATCCTAGTAGGAAGAGGTTAGAAGATCCAATGAAACGGTGGCAGGAATTAAAAATACCAAAAACAACTTTGTAGGATCGTTTGTGGTACACAGGGTACATATGAAGATCAACTCCGCTAAATTCATGGCCAGTAAATTTTTTGAGAAGCGCAGATGTCCTTGATCTATTGGGATTCTTTTTTGAATATATTTTTGAGCTTAGATTCTTTACCCTGCTAATAGTGGATTCTGGAAAAAAAATCAAGCCACAATTGTAACCAATAGTAGGATGAACAAGGTCCCAATACTCATTCAATGAGGTTTTTTCCCTGTTATCTTCTTCAAGAGACTTGCGCACTGGATTGCATCTCTCAAAACTAACTTCCTTGTTTGAGTCCTCGGGTTTTATCAGTACCATACCCATGATTTGGCCCCTGGTGTTCACGACAAGCCGGACTTTCCCTTTGTTCCCTGGTCACTGATTCAGTAACTGCCTTAAAATACAGAGGAAAAGTCAAAGGTTATATTTACTGTTGTCGTAAAAGTTCAAACCAGGCATAGTAGGCCATGAGAGAAGGATGTCTGATTTCACATTAAATAGTTGTGAATCTTCGAATAATTTGGGAAATCTTCTAAAATGATATTTAGAAAAAAATGATTCGATAGCGTGTTGTGCTACCACCCGCACATGATCGATTGGATAGAAATCTAAGTTACATACGAAGCCATTAGTTCCATCTGGAAGGTATACATCCGAGTATGCGATGTCTATGCATTTGATAAGGTGAATTAACCCGAATATTGTAAGGAAGACGCCGAACTTGATCCACATCTTGACCGGAAGGCCAGACGAATCTTCCAGATCGTGAAGTGAGTTGCAGAAAAAAGTATTGCGACGGACGTGTGCGAAGAAACTTCGCCAATGGGAACAATCTTCATGGTATTTGGGAACTTGCAATACAATTCAGTCTAAACTGGATGAATCATTATGCTAAAGCTGCCAAGTAGCCAATTTAAGCTGTCTACCAAAATATTCAAGATTCGAGTCAGACCATAAAACACTATCCAATAAACTAATCAACTGGGGGTAAAGGCCCCAGCAACTGGCAGCAGAATTCTTTAAAAACTCCTAGATCTCATTGCAGAGTCTGCCGAGCCAAGATTAAACAAAAGCTTCACCCTAGTTTCGATGAGGATACCCAAATGGCATTGCGATCTGTATCGTTCATCTATCATCACAACTTACAGGGACCGTTGTCATGAAGCTACCCATTATCAGTTCATTTTATTGTCTTTCCTGAGTTAATGACTATCTAGGACATGCAGGTCCTCTCTGCCCACAGGCCAAGGATACCTATACCAGTAGTATATCCCCTCCTATACCTCCCATACAACTCCCCTCAAACAGTACCACCCCTCACAAGTCTCCATTCGATCATACACTTAGAGGAGTCCTTTGCCTTTCATTATCTTCTCTCTCCAGCCAACGAAACGATGGCCATTTGCGGGTGTATGGCAGCCGGGAAAATTCGCAAAAACCACTGGGTGCGGAGCTCTCCTAATACCGACATGAGGACTAAATCCAAAGACATAGTGACCCTTCTGAAGCGTTCGAAGAGGCCGGCCAGCTGGGCGCTGCAGACTTGTGAGTAACTTGTGGGTACCTCGAGAAATTCACCCTCTGCTTTTCTAGCCTCCTTCCAACTCCTTCCCGAAGGTCGTGCTGAAATCTCAGAAAAGTCTTGGCAGAGCGTGATTGATGTATGATAGCTTAGCTCAATTTCTTTTGTGCCGTCCAGGGCGCTGGGGAGTGCCGTTGACTCATCGAAAATCGAAGTCCTCCTGGCTAATAAGCCAAAGTCTCGGTCTTGGCGCCCACAAAAGTTCTAAAGTTGACAACCACTCGAAAATGACAGTCTCAGCATGGCCTTCAGAGACCTGTTCCCCCTCTCGTTCCACATCTCAGCTGCCTGTTCTTCCTCAAGTTGTTTGTCCCATTTGACAACAGTCCCCCATAAGCCAAGACCCGGGCTTTCTAAATCATGACTTGATTTCCTCCTTGCGGGTATACGTAGCGTCGTAAATTTGTAGTGAGTGATGGCCGGTAAAGAATGAGGCAAGCTCCTGTTTGCAATTGAGGTGATGCTTTTATCAGTCGATGAGGCGAGATGATATGTGGTTAGATCGAGGTTTAGGACTCAGAAGATAATGGTGAGTGCTGCATGATTGAGAAGTCGTCAAATTGAGTTGCATGTGTTTGCTTACGACTTCGCTTCGGATGCGATTCTTCTTGGCTATCCCAGATATGCAGAGCATACTGAGCGATTATACCGGCACCACGGGAAGGTGAAGAATTCGTCTTTGCCAGCTCATGAATAATGATGTTGGCACAGGCTGAATCTGCTAGCAGATAGATAATGGTCGGTCACTTTTTTCTTGATTCTCTATCTAAGATATCTACAGAGAGTTATCCGATATAGATGCCGAGACCCTAGTGTGATCAACACCCGTGCGTGAAGGCGCACACTCCGGGTCAATCAGAGTGATCCAGACGAGTTAGGTACCCGTTTAGGGGTGGCGTTCGGATAGAGAGGTAATTACTGTTTATGTCGCGACAAGATTGTGTTATCTACACGAATCATGAAATCCCGATGGTTGCATTTTGAGTTTTATAAGTTTGTAATGAATTGATGCATAGTCACTTCTATAAGGCCCACAGTCGCGACTATGATGCTGACAGGTCCGCAATCATTTTTATATTACTTAATGTGCATTCAGCTATCTAGCTACAACACACAACCAGTGCTTTATGTACATGTGGGATGACTCTTTTAACGGTACAAACACTCATACTCTGGATTTCATTCGCGAATATGACTACGAGATGTGTTCGCTCACACAAATAGCCGACCCTCCTGCCTAAGTGCCCACCAAAGGGAAATTCAAAAGCTTTAGTTATCCAAGCATATGGGCCCCGCGAGAAACGTGGTTGAATTTTGCCGGATTCAAACCAGCCAACTCCTGTCTCAAGTGTGACACTTGCCCAAGCTATCCAGAATTTACTTGGAAGGGCGGCCTAGATGATGTACCATCTATTAAAGTTCTAGGGGGTATCTGGAATGATAGAAGTGAACGTTGACCGTCAAGTCAATACTGTACGAATCGTAAGATATTGGGGATTTAAGGATCAGAGATAAAAGGTTAGGATCAGTGAGGTTTTGGTTTTACTGAACTTATATTTCGGTAATTAAAAGTGTTTGTGTTTAATCTACATCTAATTGTCTATCTATGTTCTACCTCGCTTAGGTAGAAACATTGTGTTCTGATTACGTGATGGAATAACATCCACACCACCGAGATCATTACCAACCGAGACCTCACCAAAGCTGGTAGCGATCGAAGATGAGTAGTCTTCGTCTACTCCGCACTGCGTGCAGTTCGGTCTGGCATGTCTAGATTTCAACACCATCGCACCATCCAACCGTGGTGATGTTTATAGTGTCGCCTGCACTCTGGCAACCGAAGCCTTGACCCGTACAAAGCCCAATATGGAAAACTCATTGCAAGAAATTTAACATGTCACCCATTTTAAGATGGTATCTATCTCCGACATCATCTTTTCCACTTGTCCAGATCACTCACACGCCGACCCCCAGATTTGTGCACCAGAACTTGTATCCTCCGGCAGCTGTTCATATTCTTACGGGCATGCATGTGGAAGCTACTCGAGACCAGAGACTGATTTAACGAGATTTGTTGTCATTGAAAAAAGGGTGCGCTAGGTCTTAGTTGAAGACTCAATGACGCTTCGGTGGGAGTAGATGTTATGAGCAGACAACCTTGAGGGAGATTCAAGGATAAGGTTAAAGGACAATGGCTAAGGAGAGGGATCTCGGGAAAAAGTTCAACGGGGAAGTTTCCAGGAAAACCCTGACAGCCAGAGTTGGAGGGTCCGAAGTCAGCATCTTAACTTGCCAAAGCCTGAATTGAAATTAAGTACGTAGTTTAGTGTACTGAAGGAAGCGGGAGCTACCACAGTGTAGTTCTCCAGCTTCTCAATCTCATGTCTCCACAGTCCAATATTCTCAAACATCTTACTACTTATCCTGATCGCTCGTCCCTCAGTTCCAACCTCCTGGTTCCTCGCCAGCTCACTCGACCGCCCATATCCATTCTCAGGTATATGCTATCGTAGTTATCCGTCTAGTCATTATTAGGATACATACAGTAGACGGCGATGCCTACCTCGTCGAACACTCGCCGTAACAATAGATCCCGTTGGAAGTAAGAGGCTGAATCGTTGCCTCGCGGTCCAACTTCTTTGGTACAGCGAAATTCGATAGATCTTGACTCTAGGAGAATGTTTCACTCCCAACTTCCTAGGCACCGCATATAGGTGTTCAGTCCTTAACCTCTGACACGCCCACAAGTACTTCAACAACAAGTGGAGCTGAATCACGTTGGAAGAACCTATCAAGGAAATACTGACCCCTCAGTCATTGAGGGCGGCTTTATTTAAACCATTTAGTCCTCAGCTAAAGCTCTATTTGTTATTTTTTTACTTTCTTTTATTACGAATAGGTCCTAAGCTAAAGCTCTTTATCCACTAAGGGTGAGGGACCGGTGGAGCCGGCAAGGTTCCCTGTAACTTTTCCTACAGCCTAACTCGTTCCAACCTCGTAAATCGCTGCCAAAGGTGCAGCTGATTAAACAGATGGTTTAGCAGGCACCTTTGATCCAGCCGATATCCTGCTATTAGTTAGTAGATTCCCCAAAAGGGACATCGTCGAGGTCGCTGTGCCCACTAGCTTCTTCTTCAGATTCTAGGACTCCGAAACCTGTTGCCTTGGCCATCGAAACATCCTTCGCCGCGGCGATTATCTCTTCTTCAGCCCTTTTAGCTGCAACCCGAGCTGGTGTTCCCTTTCGGAACTTCCCTTGCTCGATGTGACGGATCCACGCGAGCTGCTCCTTTGTCACCGGTCCGGATTTTCTGGGTCTGACTTGGCAGTCCCGAGAATCCAATCGGTGGGGTCCCCCACAGTTGCGACACTTTGTGAGGGCCTTGTACTCGGCTTCGACGCCATAGATGGCGGCGGAACAGAGTACAAGATTTGTCGCTGTTTAGGCGGCGCGTCGTTTGTTGGCTTCGACGATTGGCCGAGTTTCAGGAGGGCAGTCTGCTTTCGCGGCAGTTTTTGGCTGCGACGTTGGTTTTGACGCTGCTTTGAGTGCAGCGCTCTCCAACGGTTTTGGCGTGTTCGGAGGAGGTTTGGATGATTACCCAATTACGTGGGATACGGGGCTGGTTGAGGAAATTCCTCAACAATTTCAACCTCAAGCACATCTCAATTTGACGACTTCTCGACAATGTCTCTCTTACCATACTCATCTGAGTCCTCAATCTCGATCTAACCACATATCATCTCGCCTCATCGACTGATAAAAGCATCACCTCAATTGCAAACAGGAGCTTGCCTCATTCTTTACCGGCCATCACTCACTACAAATTTACGACGCTACGTATACCCGCAAGGAGGAAATCAAGTCATGATTTAGAAAGCCCGGGTCTTGGCTTATGGGGGACTGTTGTCAAATGGGACAAACAACTTGAGGAAGAACAGGCAGCTGAGATGTGGAACGAGAGGGGGAACAGGTCTCTGAAGGCCATGCTGAGACTGTCATTTTCGAGTGGTTGTCAACTTTAGAACTTTTGTGGGCGCCAAGACCGAGACTTTGGCTTATTAGCCAGGAGGACTTCGATTTTCGATGAGTCAACGGCACTCCCCAGCGCCCTGGACGGCACAAAAGAAATTGAGCTAAGCTATCATACATCAATCACGCTCTGCCAAGACTTTTCTGAGATTTCAGCACGACCTTCGGGAAGGAGTTGGAAGGAGGCTAGAAAAGCAGAGGGTGAATTTCTCGAGGTACCCACAAGTTACTCACAAGTCTGCAGCGCCCAGCTGGCCGGCCTCTTCGAACGCTTCAGAAGGGTCACTATGTCTTTGGATTTAGTCCTCATGTCGGTATTAGGAGAGCTCCGCACCCAGTGGTTTTTGCGAATTTTCCCGGCTGCCATACACCCGCAAATGGCCATCGTTTCGTTGGCTGGAGAGAGAAGATAATGAAAGGCAAAGGACTCCTCTAAGTGTATGATCGAATGGAGACTTGTGAGGGGTGGTACTGTTTGAGGGGAGTTGTATGGGAGGTATAGGAGGGGATATACTACTGGTATAGGTATCCTTGGTGTCAGGCGCAGGTTCACTAGGCGCAGGACTCGAGGCGTAGGAGAGGGCGTAGCGTAGGATGTACTGAGGAAGGAAGCCTCGTGGTAACGCGGAGGGCTTTCTGGAGAAGTGGTAAAAGGAAAAGCGGGGAGTCGTTCTAGATAGAGGGGCCGGAGGTGACAGTAGGTCACTATGTTTGGCAGAGGACGAGAGTGAGATGTGATTAGAATAATGTAACTATTCCTAAAGACAGAAAACAAAGCGTGAAGATATCAGTTTCGGAAATGGAAACTACATAGGTGCCCTCGCTAAGCAATAAAGACTAGTGAGATTAAACAAGGAACCCATAAATCCTGCCTGAGGCATTTCTCAAGAATCCTTACACTTGGCCTGTGGGCAGAGAGGACCTGCATGTCCTAGATAGTCATTAACTCAGAAAAGACAATAAAATGAAATAATAATAATAATAGTCCCGGATTAGGGCCAATTTTCAGATCCAGGACGCCTGAAAACTTGCTTCTGAGGTCTAAGGTTGCAAATCTATCTGATCTTGGGCTAATGGTAAGTTAGTGAGCATTGCACCCAACATTGTTACTTGGTTATTTTTCGAACGGTTTGTAGTGAGGTAGTTATTAAAAGCGTGACCGGCTCCTGCGTAGTACATGCAAAGGTTGTTGTCTCGTCGCCATTACTTTTCTGAAGTTGTTGTTTTTTGCATTCTGTTTATAAGAAAAATACCGCTGTTCAGGGGGTGGCCTTGATTTCGGCTGACTTTGGGTTGCGGAAATATCCATTGGGACGAGGCCACCAGCAACATGCGAGGGATGAGCTGTATTAATAATTTGAAATTGACTGGCGGTGTTACAATCTTTTCTTAGTTCAGCTTTCCGAACTCTAATCCTGTTGCCCAACGTCATCAATGTCGAAGCAAATTCTTTCAAAGTAGTCAGGCGCAGATTCACTGGGCGCAAGACTCGTAGCGTGCGAGGTACTGAGTAAAGACGCCTCGTGGGAACGTGGAAGGCTTTCTGGAGAAGTGGCGAAGAGGAGCCCGGGGAGTCGTTCTAGATAAAGTGGCCGGAGGTGACGGTAGGTCAATATGGGTGGCAGAGGACAAGAGTGAGATGTGATTAGAATAATGTAACTATTCCTAAAGACAGAAAACAAAGCGCGAAGATCTCAGTCTCGGAAATGAAAACCACATAACTGTGCTCACTAGGCAATAAAGCGTAGTGGGACTAAATAAGGAACCCATGAGCCCTGCCTAAGGCATTTCTCTAGAATCCTTCCAAAAGTGTTTGGACGTTCAAACCTGTATGCCATCGCAGTTTTCAAATTGTTAGAAAGTCTTTTGGCAATGGCATCTATTTTTGCCGATTCGTTGTAGTCCAGATACGCAATATTACGATAGAAACTAGTGCAATAAGTAGCAAAGTCTCCATGCCCTTGCTTCAGTGTTTCGAGCTCTTGAGAGCTGTAATTTGGGGTTCTGGGTCTCCAAAAGAAGCTTCTAAGTGGGCAAATAAAGCCGAAATCGATGGAAATGGTGCCGAAGGATTTGCGTTGACAAGGGGGGCCACCTGGTCAAATACTTTTCCTTCTAGTTGGTTGATGGAGTAAATTACGGTTGCCGCCTCATTGCAAAAACGATCCCTGTTCATCTCTAGTTTCATCCGGAGTTGTGTGATAAATCCAGGAAATTTTGCCGTCGCTCCGTCAAAGTTTTCAGGATCAGGGAATTTTTCGGAGCGAAAAGTGAATTGAGGAACTGGCAGTGGGTGTGTATCGTGAGTCGGCGCAGTAGGAGTAGAGCTAGCTCTTGCAATGCTTAGGTCTAGGTTGAGTTGAGTTACCTGCCCTTCGAGGGTATTATTAGCAGTATGGGCATTTGTCGGTAAAAGGATCACATTTGGGTAGTGTGAATTGTTCTATGTATTTGCGGTATTCGGGTTGTTGTTAGGACACTGACAGGGGTCTGATTTAGCTCATTATCGAGGCGCTTGGAGTAGAGGAAGAAAGGGGAGATGGAGAGGAAGAGGAGAGACAACGTTTTATGTATTTCGAGATACCAGTTAATTGAGATTATTCACCGACTTCGTGACGGACAGCTGACTTCGTGACGGCACCCAATTTGTATTACTTCGTGTTTTACTAACAGCATTAGAAAGCTGTGACCGACATGTACCCCTCTCTTGGCACAGGCGATTTTTAAGGCCTGTAAAGCCGGTAAAAAGCGCAAGATTATCTGTCTCGTAAAATCGACGAAATTCTTCGACATCAGTGGGAGCGATCCATGTCGAGATATTTTGTGTGGCCATCTCGTGCAGTACGGATAAGGACGCAACGTAATCTCAGGGAGTTTACTACTAACGTTCCGTAGGGCACGAAGCGATATTGAGTGTGATTATAGGACAGCACTGAAGTAGTCATCTGTTAGGAAGAGAAATGTGAAGTGGCACAACATGTGTACAAAATGTAAGAAGACGTTGCGTGACAAGAGAACTCTCTCACGCCAGCCAGACTATATACAGGATAGTACCACTAGCGCTTCAGCACAGGAGGCGATGTGGTCACTACTTATTTACTATCCTATATATAGTCTGGCTGGCGTGAGAGAGTTCTCTTGTCACGCGAGGTCTTCTTACATTTTGTACACATGTTGTGCCACTTCACATTTCTCTCCCCCTTGAGCTTATCAAGACCTAAATATGAAGCTATGTGAGGCTTATTAAGAAGCACACGTAATAAGCTATGTGCTACATATTGTGTCTAATATTATCTCCCTGCAAACATGTAGAGAATGTTTGCATTTAAGTCATCATCTGGATTTTGTACTGTAATTAGTTGCGCCTGTATTCTACTCTTTATAATATTAGCGGTCATCATGTTTTTATCTTGTGTTTAAAATTAGATGACACAGGATGTTTGTAAGACAGGATGTTGAGAATACGTGGTCTGAACTATGGAAACTGACTCAACAAACACGAACGGGCCTGTACTTGAATAGAAGTGAGATGATTGAGGATAGGAGAAATCAATTACCTTTTTCTTTTCTCCTCTCTGATAAAATATCTAAGACCCAATCCTGTGACACATCCTGACAAAATACCACTTCAGTGCTGTCCTGTAATCTTACTTAGTATTCCTTCGTGACCCACACAACTTTAGTAGTAAGCTTCTTGAGATTCTGGAACGTTTCTCTGGGAGGGTATTCACGGATGAGGGTTGACTTTGGGTGAATAAAAAGCCACCATAACTTTGTCGTGGTAATTGCAAATGAAATCCGAGGCGTGCGTGCTCTTGTATATAGAGTCATCTTTTCTGTAATTGTTCTCTAATATTGTGTCATAGCTAGCTAGATGCATACGCAATTCAAATCTGGTGCAAAGAAAAAAGTTGCTTAGCATTGAGCTGGCTTGGCTGAATTGTTAGGAAATAAGTGAGCGGAGGATTTTTTTTATTCATTTAATGTGTATTCAGCTATAGAGCTATGACACATGACCGGTACTATGTATACATGTGGGATGACTCTTTTGACCTTAGAGACACTCATACTCTGGATTTCATTCGCAAACACCACTATGAGGTATACTTGCTTACACAAACAGTCGACCCTCCTCCGTAAGTATCCACCAAAGGGATTTTCAAAACCTTTGATTATCCAAGCATGCCTTCGTCATCATTGTATACCAGCGCCGCGAGAAATGTGTTTGTGTTTTGCCAGATTTGAACCGGCGATCAACTGTCTCGAGTGGGATATGTGTCCAAGCTATCCAGACTCTACTTGGTAGACCGTCCAAGACGATGTACCACCGCACCATCCAACCATGGCGGTGTTTATAGTGTCGTCTGCACTCTCGCAACCGAAGCCTTGGCACGTTTAAAGCTCAATTTGTAAAAACTCGTTGCCAAAATTCGAAATTTCACGCCCGTCGAGACTTTGTGCAATCCTTTGCATCGTCTTGTGAAATTTTCCTGGATCCTCTCACTCCCATCCCAAAGAATCGTCTCCCAAATTTGTGCGCCACACTTTGCTTTCTCCGTCGGGTGTAAATGTCGGCGTGGGCGTGTATTGGGTGACCAGCTGAGGCCAGAGAAAGTCGACGAGAGGTATGATTATTGGAATGAGGATGCACTAGGTCGTACTTGTAGACTTGATGAGGCTTAGGTAGGAGTTGGACTCTTTGGGAATAAAAATTTGACGTGGAGTAATTTGAATCATTGCTCCGTGGGCCAACTTCTTTGATATTGCGAAATTTGACTGAACTTGGCTCTGGGAAAATGTTTCACTCCCAGGTTCGTAGTGGACACTGCATACAGATGTTCAGACTTGCCTTCCAAAAATTCTAGTTGAGAATGCGCGTGGCTAGTAGAAAAGCTATGATATTAATTGACGCTAAATGGTGTAAATATACACACACACTCAAGTCGGAGAAATTAAAAATCATCCGAATTTTGCGATACTAGTCAAGTTTAGAATATGGTTAGGAAGTTGAAAATGAAAGGTAGCCATAATTAAGATGTTTCCTTTAATTTTAAGGCATAAATTAATGGTTCTCGTCAGTGGACAGGGGAATAGCTTTCTCCAGAGCTGGGTGGCCAAGCGAGATTTTCCTGTAAACCACGAATAATATCCCGAGAAAATTCCAGACAAGGGTGGAATTTTTCTATTACACCCTTTTGTACTTCAGCATGGTAAAGGCTGTACCTATCAAGGCCAGTGTTATGACCTATCGCGAACGCATGACGGAAGGCTAGATTTCTCCAATTAGCAGATCTTTCGAGTAATTTATCGGGAGTATTTACAGTTATCATGGTTTTCTGGGGTTCTTATGAGCCAGAGATTTATCACCAGATCTTCTACAAGAGGGAAATAGGGTTTTCTACCATTTAAAGCATTCACCCAATTTTTTAGGGCGAACTCCAAATAAAGCAATATGGTTTTGGACTTGAACTTATGTCCCAAGCAAGTCTGGGGCCAATAACTATCTTGAATTCTCTCGAAGTTTGATAAAGAGGATGGGCGATAAATTTCATGGGATGAGGTCGATGATAAATCCCTTACAGGTGCACATTTTTCTTTCCTATCTTCTATATTGATGATACCCTTGAATTCACTATTGCTCATATCAAAAACTGCACGAAATTTGCCAGGTGGACCTACCGAAGGGTCGTCAGAACACGGAAAAGAACGATAGTGGGGAAATTAAATTACCAGTAGCAGCTCTGTGGGATATTTTATGATGCACAGGATACCAGTAGAGATCAGCCCCTCGAAATTCATCGCCCGTAAATTTTTCGAGGTTGCAGAGCTTGTATTTCCCACTCAGCCTTTGTTGGAAATATATGCTTAATTCTGGTCCTTTTATCCATTTCACTACTGATTCTGGAAAAAACTTCGAGCCACAATGGTATCCAAATGTGGAATAAGTCGCTGTTAAACGCTCATTCAATGTGGCTTGGTCGTCAGTGTCCCTTTCAAAAAATCTGCGTACTGGATTGCATCTCTCAAAACTAGTTTTCTGGTTAGGGACCTTGGGTTTTTTTGTTACGACACCCATGATTTGACCTCTGATGTTTATGACAAGGCGGATTTTACCTGGGTTCTCTAGACGTTGATTCAGTTTCAGTCTTCGAATAAGGAAATAGAACCCAGAGGAATTGTTTTATTACTGGAATAAGGTACCCCACTGGGAAAAATAGGCCATGAGAGAAGGATGTCTGATTTCACATTAAACAGTTGTGTATCTTCGAATGATGCTGGAAATCTTCTATTATAATTTCCAAAGAAAAATAATTCAATAACTTTTTTTGCTTCCTCCCGTACACGATCGATTGGATAGAAATGTAATTGACATACGAAGCCATTAGTTCCATCTGGAAGGTATACATCCGAGTATGCGATGTCTATGCATTTGATAAGGTGAATTAACCCGAATATTGTAAGGAAGACGCCGAACTTGATCCACATCTTGACCGAAAGGCCACGAAGAAAAACCTGGATCGTAAAATGAGTAGTAAAGCAAAATAATGCGACCAGAAACTGTTTGCGGGAACGTTTCAATTGGAGTTGCCCTTATCAATTTGTGCGGAGGGTTGAAATTAATTATTACTGTGTGATATTACAATCCACTTTCAGTCTAAGACTGTACGGGACAAGTAATTTGAACCCATGTTAATTAAGTTGGATAAACGAGTATACAGAGGCCGCGAACAGTCTAATGTAAAAAATCCAAATTGAAGGATCAAGCGTTCAAGTCAAGCATTGAATGTCCATTTACACTTAACAATTCAGCAGCAACTGGAATTCTTTCGTACCAAATGCTCTTTTTACTCGCCTATATCTGATTTATTATCTAATGGTCAAGAGATCTATTTTAGCCTCATAAAATCTAGCAAACGGATTTTTAGAATTGAGAGCCGTCCTGCAATCTGTCAGTTCTCTAGAATTTTGATCCTCAATTATGATAAGCTAAACTTAATCTGGTGGGGAAGACCAAGAAAGTTTAATTTCAAGGCGGCTCCTACGATTCTATGTTTAGTGCCGGGGATATAGTATACAGATATTGAACAACGATAGGAAATTGAACAAGGTCGAGGGCTCACACAGCTCTAAGTGGAGTCATAAATAAAAGACGTGAATATGTTGACAAACTTGGCGCGTAGAGCTTCATTCTACAAAGCAGAGCTAGTGTAAAGTGCCATTGTAAAACCAGCTTTCACATGTAGGTCACCAATTTGATCTGGGGTTGGATCATTATGCAAAATTACTGAATGAATTAAGTAGTCTAGAGAATTGTGCAGAGAAGATTTCTCTAACTTGTAATTTAATTTTAAATCCCGACCCGTAGTAGGGTACTTGAGCTTGAAATCTTCACACTAGGAACAAACGTAAAACTTGAGCACTAGAGAATGAAAAACGTCCGAATATCAAAAATTTTGCAGGTTCAAGAGAGAATTCCTTCTTCCCTCAGGTACAATGAGCTGGAGGGCAAACACAGGAGATCTGTACGTGATGTCCACTACGAACTTGGAATTAAAACATTTTCCCAGAGCCAAGTTCAGTCAAATTTCGCAATGTAAAAGAAGTTGGCTCACGAGGCAATTATTCATCGATCCCAACCAAAGCAACATATTTCATCCAAAAATGTCGATCCTAGCCAAAGCCTAATCAAGGCTACAAGTACAACCTAGTACGTTTTTACTTTAATGACCAGACCTCTCGGAGGGCAAGACTGAACACCTGTCAGTGGTGCTCTCTACGAACCTGGGAGTGAAATATTCTCCCAGAGCCAAGTTCAGTCAAATTTCGCAATACCGAACAAGTTGGCCCACGAGGCAATGATTCAAATAACTCCACCACGTCAAATTTTCATTCCAAAAAAGATCGAATCCTACCTAAGCCTCATCAAGTTTACAAGTACGACCTAGTACATCCTCATTCCAATGACCACACCTCTCGCCGACCTTCTCCGGCCTCAGCCGGTCACCAAATACACGCCCACGCCGATATTTACACCCGACGGAGGAAGCAAAGCGTGGCGCACAAATCTGGGAGACTGTTCTTTGGGAGGGACGTGAGAGGATTCAGGACAAGTTCACAAGATGATGCGAAGGATGGATACAGTCTCGACGGGCATGGAATTTTGAAATTTGGCAAGCAGTTTTACAAATTGAGCTTTGTGCGTGCCAAGACTTCGGTTGCGAGAGTGCAGGCGACACTATAAACACTGCCATGGTTGGATGGTGCGGTGGTACATCGTCTTGGCCGGTCTGCCAAGTAGAGTCTGGATAGCTTGGACACATATCCCACTTGAGACAGCAGATCGCTGGTTCGAATCCGGCAAAACACAATCACATTTCTCGCGGCGCTGGTATGCATGGATGACGAAGGCATGCTTGGATAATCAAAGGTTTTGAAATTCCCTTTGGTGGGTACTAACGGAGGAGGGTCGACTGTTTGTGTAAGCAAACATACCTCATAGTGGTGTTTGCAAATGAAATCCAGAGTATGAGTGTCTCTAAGGTCAAAAGAGTCATCCCACATGTATACATAGTACCGGTCATGTGTCATAGCTCTATAGCTGAATACACATTAAATGATAAAAAAAAAAAAAAAAAAAAAGACCAGACCTCTCGTCTAATCAGTCACTGGGCTCAAATGGTCTCCACATATACGCTCACTACAGTATGAATACCTGCCGGAGGACATAAATTGTGGTGCACAAATGTGTGCCAGTTTTTTCTTCTGTTGGGATGGACGTAAGAGAAATTTGGACAAGCATACAATTTGATGCTAAAATTGTATGTATTCTCGAAAGGGGGGGGGGACTTTGAATTTTGACAAGGAATTTTTCAAATTGAGCCTTGTCTGCGGCAAAACTTCTATTGCGGAAGTACAGGCGACACTATAAACATAGCCATGGTTGGATGGTGTGGTGGTACATCGTCTTGTTTTTTTTATTTTTTTATATACATTCTGTCCTAAGCTAGAGCTTTGTTTTCCACATTGGGTCAAGGACCGGCGGATCCGACAGGGTTCCCTGTAACTTTTCCTACAGCCTAACTCTTTTTTTGTTTTTTTTTGCATCATATTTTAATTGCGTATGCAGCTATCTAGCTATGACACAATATCAAAGAAAAGTACAGAATATATGATTCAACGTAAGGGAAGAGCACTCATGCCTCAGATTTCATTTGCAAGTACCACTGCGAAGTTATGGCGGCTTTTTCTTCACCCCAAGTCAACCCTCATCCGTGTATATCCATCCAGGGGAACGTCTCAAAAACCCTGAGTTATCCAGACATGCCTCCATCATCTTTCAACTTTTCTCCGCGCGAAATGTAATCTGAGATATCTCCTTCCCAAGTGGATTAGGTGCCCAGGCTACTCAAACCATACCAGAGAACACCACCAGGAGGCGGACTACAACACCTTCCATCGTTTGCTTGTTTTTATAGTGTCAGCTGCACTCTCGCAAGCGAAGTCTTAGCGCGCACAAAGCTCAATTCGTAAAACTGCTTGCCAAAATTCGGAATTTCACTCCCTTCAAGGTTATATCCTTCCTTTGCATCATCTTGTAAACTTGTCCTGATCCCTCTCACGTCCATCCCAAAGAACTGTCTCCCAGATTTGTGCGCCACGCTTTGCTTCCTCCGTCGGGTATAAATATCGGCGTGGGCGTGTATTTGGTGACCAGCTGAGGCCAGAGAAGGTCGAAGAGTGGTGTGGTCATTGGAATGAGGATGTACTTGGTCGTACTTGTAGACTAGATGAGACGAAGATAGGAGTCAAACTCGTTGGGAGCGAAATGACGACGTGGATGAGTAATTTGGATTTTTGCCTCGTAGGCCAACTTCTTTGATTTTGCGAAATTTGACTGAACTTGGCTCTGGGAGAATATTTCACTCCCAGGTTCGTAGAGGACACCGCGTACAGGTGTTCAGTCTTGCCCTCCTACAGCCTAACTCGTTCCAACCTCGTGAATCGCTACCAAAAGTGCAGTTGATTGAACAAGAACGAAAAATCACAAAAATCAAAACAACTCCGAATACCAGAAGACTCCTCCATATTGGACCCAGTAAATGCGCTCCTCACACATTCCCTCGTCCGTCACACCTTCCAAATGACAAAATTTATTCAATCTCCGCTGAGAGCAAGAGATGAGTTAGCAGGCACCTTTGTTCCAGCCGGTATCCTGCTATTAGTTAGTAGATGCCCCAAAAGGGATATCGTCGAGGTTGCTGTGCCCTCAAACTTCTTCTTCAGCTACCAGTGTTCCGAAACCTGTTGCCTCGGCCATAGAGACATCCATCGCCGCGACGATAATCGCCTCTTCGGCCTTTTTTGCTGCTGCTCGTGCTCGTGCCACCTTTGAGAACTCCCCTTGTTCTATGTGGCGGATCCACACGAGCTACTCTTTGGTCACCGGTCCCCCACAGTTGCGACAGCGTGTGAGGGCCTTGCACTCTGTTTCGGAGTGCATATTTGATCCGCAGTTCCAGCAAGCCGGAGCGCGGGAGCAACCACGAGTGGCGTGGAAGCCCAAACAGCGTTTGCACTGTTCAATTAATCGACGAGGCTTATGGATGGTAGCCATACCCGAATCGTCGAAAAGGCGGAAGCCCGCACGAGGGGCTTCGTCCCGGTGAAAAAGGGCATGCCAGTTTCGATAAGGCGATCCAGGCCGACATGTCCCATGAGGTCGGACCTGGATTGGATACTGTTGTGATCAGACCCACTTATAGATCACACAACTTGGAATGGCTAGTACTGGGCAAGTGAACCAACAGGACAAGCGACCCTGCGTCAATGATACGTCATCGGCACACAGCAATGACAACACCAGTATCTCAACCATACATGATTATATGATAATATGACGCAGGTATATCTAATGACATAGTTGTTGAATGGCTGAATGGTTGGCAGTTATTGCTATTGATGGTATATTGTATGTATTGTCTTTGTGTATAAATACTCGCTACTAGACCTCTGTATATGATCAACCTTTTCCACTCTTATATTCAATAGTCATCAATATAGCAGATCTATAATATATATCTATCTTCTCCACGTTAGACTTAAAGTGCTATCCTACATCAACCCAAGTTGACTGTTACACCCATTGTGACAATTCTTAGACTTCTCATAACCTCATTATTACAACAGGTTATGAGCCCGGGCTCATCACATAAGGAACAGTACAGAATAACCATGGGTCACAAGGACAACAAGATCGTCTTGGCACCAGGCGTTTCCTTCGTCAGTTAGGAGAACGACCTACAAGCCAAGCTAGCTCGACGCAAAGTATTAGGCCATGTCTTTCATAACATCGAAGGCATAAAACCAATTTCAAAACCAACTCCCCCGATAAGCTTTGAAAGCCAAAAACTATCGACTGAGAAGAATCACGACTTGGTGAATGACTATGAGGAAAAGTTGGCAATATGGAAGTATGGAGAGATAGA